AAAAAAAAAAAAAAGAAATATTTTTAAATATAAATATTAACCCTTTAAAAAAATTAGTTTCTTCAAAATATTTTGAAAGACCAATATATTCAACAAAATCATTTTTGCTAAACCCAAATAAAACAGGCATTATTGCTGAATATAAAAGAAAATCTCCATCAAAAGGAATAATAAATGACATTTCGAAAGTTCAAGATATTACAAAAGGATATGAAAATTTTGGAGCAAGTGCTATTTCAGTTCTTACTGATAATCAGTATTTTGGTGGTTGTAATGATGATATTTTAAATATTAGAAATGAAATAAATATTCCAATTCTTAGAAAAGATTTTATTGTTGATGAATATCAAGTTTATGAAACAAAATCAATAGGGGCTGATTTAATTTTATTAATTGCAGAATGTTTAACCCAAGAAGAAGTTAATAATTTATCTCAATTAGCAAAAAATATTGGTTTAGAAGTGTTATTGGAAATGCATTCAGAAAATGAAATTGAAAAAATTAATGAAAATATTGACATTATAGGTATAAATAATAGAGATTTAAAAACATTTAAAGTAGATTTAAAGAAGTCTATTGAATTATTTAACAAAATACCTTCAAAATATTTACGAATAACTGAAAGCGGAATATCATCAATATCAGATTTTCAAACTATGAAAAATGCTGGATTTCAAGGGTTTTTAATAGGAGAAAATTTCATGAAAGAAACAAACCCAGTTGATTCTTTTAAACATTTTATTAAAAAAATTTAATAAAAATTTGAAAAATATCATTTAAAATTTATACATTTATCAAAAATTTTTTGAAAAATGAATAAATTGAAAATTATCGATAGAGATCCTTTTTTAGAACCATTTACTGAACAGCTAAATAATAGATTTAAATGGTTTGAAAATACTGTAAATTATATAAATCAAGATTTTGGAAGCATAGAACAATTTGCTTCTGCCTATGAATATTTTGGATTTAATTATGATGAAGACAATAAAGGATGGTGGTTTAGAGAATGGGCTCCTAACGCTTATGAAATATCATTAATTGGAGAATTTAATGATTGGAATCATCAAGCCAATTATTTAAATAGAAAAGATTTTGGAGTTTGGGAGATTTTTTTACCCGATTCGATTTATAAAAATAAATTAATTCCTTTTTCAAAAGTAAAATTAAAAATAAGAGGAATAAACGGATATGTTTATAGAATACCTGCATATATAAGAAGGGTCGTTCAAAATGAAGATAGTTCTTTTGATGGCCAATTTATACCGAATTCAAATTTTCAATGGACAGATAAATCCTTTAAATGCAATTTAACAACCTCTAAACATCCAATTATTTATGAAAGCCACATCGGAATGGCTACAGAAGAATTTAGAATAGGAACTTATCGAGAGTTTGCTGACAATATTCTACCTAGAATTAAAAATTTAGGTTATAACGCTGTGCAGTTAATGGCAGTTATGGAACACCCCTATTACGGCTCTTTTGGCTACCAAGTATCTAATTTTTACGCTCCAAGTTCTCGTTTTGGAACTCCTGATGATCTTCGTTATTTAATTAATAAATCTCATCAATTAGGAATATCTGTAATTTTAGATGTAGTTCATTCTCATTCCGTTAAAAATTTAATTGAAGGTTTATCAGAATTTGATGGAACGGAAATTTATTTTAATGGTCATCATCCAGATTGGGATTCAAAACTTTTTGATTACGGCAGAATTGAGGTAAAAAGATTTTTACTATCTAATTTAAAATATTGGATGGATGAATTTCATTTTGACGGTTTCCGTTTTGATGGGGTTACTTCTATGTTATATCATAATCATGGTCATCATAATTTTGGAAATTATGAAGATTATTTTAAATTTCTTATTCCGCTTTTAGGTTTATC